TAAAATGATTTTGTAGAGCATTATGCAATGTAGTAAAAATGTATGACAGTAAAATATGACTAGGGCTACTGTATAGAAACCCCATAGAAATAAAATAGTTTAGAGCAGGATAAAAGAAATAGAACTACTGACAAGAAAGTAGAATACTGGGGTAAGAAAGAAAAAACCATGATAAGCTGAGTTTCTTGTTGAAAATAATTTAATATACAGCTTTATATTTTCAGTTATAAAGGGTACTGTTTTAGAGCCTTCTTCAAAGAAATCCACCAGTGAGACTAACTCAAAGGAACTTTGGAACAGAAGAGCAAAACCCCCTTGAAGGCAGGGAGCAAGATCTCTGATTTGCTTTGGAGAAGCTGAAGGAACAAAACTCGTGCAGAGATCCTTCCCATTCCCTTAATTTTCATCGAGCTTTTTCCCAGGCTGCTCAGACGGTGACTCCCTGGGGCACACCTTGCCAGCCCCCATTATCAGCTGGGGAGGGTCGAGCTCTGGCCCTGCTCAGGGATGGGGAATTTGTCAAACAGGGAGCGTGTGCTGATGAGTGTGCACACACCCCACGCCCTGCGTGCCACATCAGGCATTTAACTGTTCTGATTGTGCTCCTCTAAACTCCTCACAGCCTGCTCATTAGCTGCTGCTCTCATTTACATCAACACTGGGAGTTTGCTTGTGCTGGTGCTGTGTCCCAGTTGCAGCTTCTCAGCTGAAAAATTAAAGGCAGGAGGAAAGAAAATTCCCTTCTCCCTCTCAAAGGCCCATCCATGGGGACATCAGTTCCTACAGAGGCTGCTGTGTTTTGTCAGACCCTAAAAAGGGCCACATGCATGGCCCTGTGGCACCTGTACATGAGGCTCATGGCTCAGAGTAGTGATTCATCTGATTTTCATTTTTTTGCTCTAACCCTTTTGAGGAAAGTGGTGAGAGAGGGGATCAAGTCTCTGGTTTTTGATCAGGGACAAGCTCAGTTTCAGGCATATTTGAAAAATTAAGATTCTACTTCCTTTATTGTATCTGTTTAGAACGCCAAAGAGAAATTATGTTCCACTGATGTTCAGTGTCTCTAATTGTAATTAAATGTCTGACAGTGAACAACTGAATTTGTACTCATAACTAAAGAAAAAAGTTTGCTATTTCAGCTGCCTGTTTTTCATTAAGCTGACAGAATAAGAGGCATCACAAGGAAAAAGCATCTCTTCTACTTATGGGAAATAAATCTTGATTTCTTTTAAATATTATTTAAATGAGACCCTTCTGGCCATATCCATCCCTGCTCTCATTCTAACCAGCAGTTTCAAAAGCTGAGTGAATGACTATAGTCCCTTGTTTTTATGAGCTGCAGTTAAAAATCCATGAGTTTCTTGATAGAAATGGTGCCTTTTGAAGCTATTCATGAATTGCCTTTTTTTCCCTAGGTTATAGGAGCCACTGAATTAATCCAGAAATTCAGAATCCACATCCATTTCTATCATCATTGCTGGGTTTGCTTAAGTTTAATAATTTCCTTGTCAGCTTCTTTTGTCTACTTTAATATGATTTTTATTTACTCTGTAGCAGCAAATACCCAGAACACCTATATTTGATTGAAACTTTACCATCTGTGATCTTCATATGTGTGGGACGTGTCTGGTAAATCCAAGTGTAACACTTTCCTGTTTTGCTCTGGCTGCAGATGGGAATTCCTTTTTGATGAGCATTGATTTTCCCAAGGTGCTGTAGGATCATAGCCCTGCAAGGTACCCTTGGTGTCCTCCAAATGTGAGTCCTCAGTGTTCTCCAAATACATATCCCTGACTCAAGGCAGCTTTCCTTGAGATTTTTTTTTTCCCCCTACATTTTAAAGAGAACTGAACAGATCTTACAAAAAGTTTTGGTGGAAATTTCCTGACGTTTATCCCAATTACAGTCCAATATCTATTACTTAACTGGCAAGAAAATTAGATTCCTAGAAAAACCTGCTGTGTCTCTTTTTTTTTTTATGTGAGGCTAAAGGTCGAGAGCAAAATGGCTTTTCTTGCACATGATGTGTGTGTAGGGTGGGTGGATCTGGGTGTGCAGAGGCTGGAACCAAAATGTGGGAAAATCCCATGCACAGGCACTGGGTCTGCCAGGATGGGTGCAGATACCAGCTCTTCACCCAGAATTTATCCCACACTGTTTCCACTCCTCTTGCACATCAGTGGGTGCAAACTACTACCCTTATGAATCTTGTTAGCTGTATTAACTAAAACCAGACCAGATCCTAGTGCCTAGTGGTAGAATTCTGTGTCTGGGATTGCCAGCCTGAAGCTGGAGATGGGAATTATGCTTTTTTAGACAAGGTTGGGAGTGATTTTGGAGGATTTAGGTGAATCTTCACTTTGTTCTGCCTGTTAATATGGTTAATTTGATGAGTCAATGGAGGTGTATCCTACCCATCTCCTGCAGAGTTTTGCTTTATTGTCCTTGATAGCACTAAAACTGGATAGTAATTTTGGTGAACTTCTTTACTATGTAGGTATCTATGTACTGAGTGCTATTGCTGAAACAAAAGTAAGGAAAATGTAAGGACTTTTGAAAGACTCAAGGGAAGAATTCAAAATATTCTCAGAATATATTAAAAAATATAATTAGGAAAGGGAATATGTAGTTGTCTTCCTCCCAGAAAATACATTGCACTGCAGGAGATTTATGGCAGTCATTGGGTTCAAAAGTCTGAGATGAATCCTTTCAGGTACCTGTGGATATCTGTAGGAGAAAACCTCCTCACCCTCCAGTGAGAGGAAGGTGAAAGGACCAGGATGCTGAGAGCACAGGCTGTTTAATCAGCACCTTCATAATGAGAACCTTTACAGATCCTTTGATGATGCTATAGAATGAACATCCATCATATTGCATGCACACATTCTTGGGGAGAGAAGGGAGTCTGAGAAGGAAAAAAGTACAAGTTTTAATTTAAAAACCTCAAATTTTGCATTTTAAGAGCTCTAGTTGATTTTCAAGTGTTCTGTGGAATTTGACATATGGTTTTATTAGGTTAGCACAATTATCCTGGAACCACTTATGGACAGCACTGACAAATGCAGCTCTTGGGAATGTGATTATGAGAAGACACTCAATGTTTCTCAAGTGTTGTCTTTAGTAGTACTTGAGCAATTGACTTTGCAGAGTAATGAGACATCATCTCCAGACTATCAAGATTTAGCCAAGTAATTATTTCTTGAGCTCTAGTTCTGTACAAATATTTAGAGGCTTTTGCAGTGCAGTCACATTTGAATTTTAAGGGATGCTCCATGACTGTAGCTGCACAGGGATGGGTTTATTTATGCGGGATTTTTCAGGCAGATGTTGGAGCACTTCAGCAGGCAGATGTGATGTTTGTTTGGTTGAAGTGCCAAGCTGGCCAGGAGCCCTGTGGCTGCAGCAGAGCTGTTTTGAGTTCTGGATAATTCACTCTGCCTTTCCACAGGCTTTGGGAGCTGGGGCTCAGTGCCCTGCTTAGGGGGCTCAGCTCGGGAGCTCTCTTGTGCCCAGCAGGCTGGGAATGTGAGGAGTTTACACCAGACACCATGTGGGCTTAGCCTGTATCTCCTTCTCTTCCCCATGGCCTAATCCAAATCCCAGTGGAGTGAAAAGGTGGTTCCCCATTTATTTCATTGGTCTTTCAATCAGAACCTGGTAGAAGAAGAAATTCACCAGGACTAGGATGTCCAGACACTCACACTGCTGAGCTTAGGGTGTTTGTCCTTACTGTGTCACATTTCTCTGATGTTTTCTTCCTTGATATAAGATTTTATGTTTCCCATCATTACAGCAACTGCAATTACCACTTCATTTCAAGTATTTTGCCCATGACTTGTTTTAATCTGTTTAAGCTGCTTACCTACCAATGGCTAATAAATTCTGAATGTGCAGTCAGTTTTTACCAAATCTAAAATGGCAGAAGTTATCTCAGAATCACTGAGTCTCTAAAACTTGTAATAATAATAATAATAGTAGTAGTAGTAATAGTAGTAATAATAATAATAATAAGCCAAGGCAGGTGAGAAACAGAATATGTAAACTTAGTGTTTATATGTGACAGAACAGGGGCAATAGGATCTTAGTTTCCTGTGACTGAAGAGTCAATATAAAATTCATGTTAAAAAAAGAGAACCGATGAGGATTTATTCAACATGGAGTAAGCCAAAAGCAGACACTGTTACTTTTGCTTTACAAAAGTCCCTTAATTTGTACATTATCAAGATTTGAGACTGACTTTTGCAGGACATTAATATGGAATAGGGTGCAACTTGGGCTGTTTGCCTTATTTAATGCATTTGCTGAAATATCTACATATTTCAGTACAAATTCTTCTGATAACTTTATTAAATATGTAGATAATGAAAAGTGTGTTAGGGCCATGAGCAGTCAAAAAAATTATGCCCAAACTTCTAGAAAGTTCACCTTGTATTATTCTATCCATTTTGTTTAATGGCTGAGGCTGATGGGGCCAAACAACAGGATTATTTTGCTTTAAGCATTTAATTTTGAAATTTTTTACCATAAAAAAGCAAGACATAATTGAAATCATAACAACCTAGATCAAGGAGCTCTGACCTGACACTCAGGCAGAGTTGGAGTTGGTGAAATCCCCAGCAGGGGACCCTTGGTCCAGCAGCACAAGGCTGCAGCTCATCCCACCAACCCACGGTGAGCTCCAGCAATCTCAGCCTAACTCAGAAAAGCCCTGGAAGGGATATCCCAGTGCTAACCACAGGAGTCAACCACTGCTCTGAATCAAGAGCAGTGTGACAAACTCTTGCCTGGAGTTAATGTTTATGGCTGGTTTTATAAGCTGCTGGAAAGCAGGACGTATTGCTACACCCTGAAATATAATGGTGCCTCTGACTGGTGCTATAATAAACTGCAGAGCCTCCTCCCAACCTTTTGGATTAAGTAATAAAAGAAAATGATTAAGAGTGAAATCCCATCATTTATCTTTTGTTGAATAAAACACTTTTTTTTTTTTTCTATCCCAGCTCGCTAACAGCGACAGCCATGAAAATGAATGATTTGGCTTCACCCAAAATGATGGATAATCCTGCTGGAAGAGCATGACAATGATAGACAGACATCTTCTGAAGGAGAAGGTAATAGAAAAGACTGACACTTTGATAGGCACCATGATGAACAAGGCCTGGGGGGCCGTGAGTTAATAGGTTAATAGAAGTGCTCCGGCTCTCCCAGCCCCTTCTATCTCTGTGCTCCTTTTAGAGCTCCTTGGGCAGCAAAATAACATTGGGAACACTGGGAGGAGAGATGCATTTTGTAATTCACCAATGTGCTTTTTTGTGTACTCCTTAATGCTGTGGTGAAATTAGAATTAAACTGCTTCCTTAAGTGAGGTGTAGGGAAAGCCCACCCTGCCCAAACCTCATCAGAGCTTTGCTTTCACCTCTTCCATCTCTCAGACTCTGCTTGCAGGTAATACAATGTCCTGAGGGTATTGCACATGTTGAATTTAGTCACCTGGGAAATGGATTGTTGGAGCCCTGCTGAAGTTGATGGTGAGCCACATTCTGACATGAACTAAACCAGAATTTAGCCCAAGTAGTTTTATTGATGTCAACAAAATATGTGCCTGGTTTCTGGTCACCTACAAACAGAAATATTTGAATGTCAGGTAAATAAAGAGGTAAGATTTATTCAAATTATTTTTAATTTCTCATAGCTTTCTTATTTATTTCCATTTTTGTCTTTCATAAAACTGTAATTTTTTTCTGATAACACAAAATAACATTTATCAATGTGTACTTCATTACTTTTTTTACTTTTTTTTTTCCTTATTAATGTCTGTTTGAAGAGGCTAAGACTTTGCAAACTCCACCATCTTGGCTAGCAATTAAGCTAACATATGCTTTACAAGCTTTTTATGTCTTTTGCATTATGGGATATTTTGGTTTGAGCTAAGAGTTTCTTACTCAGTTTTTGCAACCAACTACAAGAACAGGTCTTGACATGAATGGCTTGTACAATTTTACAGTTAGATTATCAATATAAGTCAGGCTAACATGAGAAGAGTAACATAAGTGAGTAATGAGGTAAATAAACAGAAGAAATATAGTGTCAATAAGGAAGCTTTACAACTAAAGGAATTTAAGCCAATATATTTCAGAGCAAGAGAACGTGATGCACAGTTGGCAAAGTCTCTGTGAGACTATAATGAAGAGTCATAATGAAATACTTGTCTCTGTTACTACTAAGAAATAATATATGGCTCACTCTGTGGGCTGGTGGAGGACAGATCAGCTCCCTGACATGCTGCATTAACTGGGACATACAAAATCCTTCTCTGTATTTATCTTTTCCCCTGCTTATTTATTTTTAATGCTCCTGGACATGGATTGTCAACATGTCTGCCTGCACACGCCACATTTCTATATAACTTTAAAAGGATTCATGTAATCCAAATAAGCTTGAGGGGTGTATTCTGTAAGCACATGACAAATGCCTTTATTGATAGACTTGTAGTCTGGCTTCAGGACACAGCTGATATAAAATATACAGTACATGTTGAAAAGAACCTTTTAATTAGTATATCTAAGCTTTTTATTTGACTGAAAATATGTTTAACTCATCTACCAGTTTTTATTGACTTTCTTACTTAAGTGTTTTCATTAGGTGTATCTATTACTTTCTCTTCATGTACAGGGGCATTTCTGTTTCTGTAGGATGTAACAGGGGTGTTATGCTGTTATTAAAACAATGCAGAGTTACTACATCAGGTGTAACCCCAGGTTTAGTGCAGACCAAGCTGGTTTACATCACTTTCAGGTATTACTTGGCTTTCTAGTACATGACTGCAGGCTGCTAAGCAGGAGCACTGTGTGGCAATTTCATATGATAGAACAAGATCTTTCAGAATTACAAATCCCATTACCCTGCTGGCCTCTGGCCTGACCCCCCTACACCAAGCCACAGGTTATAGGAATGTTAAAACTAGGTCAAAACAATGTCAGAACAGAATAATTCACAGCATAAAGTGTGTCCTGGTGCAGAGAGTGTGAGGGCACACTACAGACCAGGAAGGGTGGCTAAATTGATCTCTGTGCTTTTGAAAGTTATTCTGGTCCCAGACAGTGAGGACGAAGCACACAGCAGATTATGAGGTTCAATCTGTTTTATTTCTTCTCACAGGATATTGCATATATTTTTACTCTGTGATTATTATGAATTAATCAGTAGTGCCTGTGGATGGTACCACAATTAAAAGCCTCTTCTCCAGGGAATTTACACAAATAGAACTGAGGACACCACAACAGTGTGTGCTCCATAAAGAGAACACACAACAAAGTGCCCAGACAGGTACAGTGATTACAAAAGAGGTGATCCAGGACTGAACCTCATGGGTATCAACCCTGCCTCATTTTCTCTCTAGCAGTGAGCTGGTTAATTCTGTCTTTCATTTATAGAACTTAAAAATGTTCATTTCAAGGGGCTATGCAAGCTTGTGTTATTTTATATTAACTAATGATCCATGGAGAAGACAAGACATCCATCTTTCTGGAGCAAGTCACTCCATGATTTTGTACCTTAGCCTTCTCATCTGTAGAATCTAAAGAATGACTCTGAGTTTGCTCTGTAAAATGCCTGAAAGATGCAGAGGAGGAGGAGGATGCCACACTTCTGGAGTGTCAGCACGGATGCCCTGGTACACAACTCACTGCTGTGGTACATGGGAGATGAAGAAAAATTTGATTTCAGCTTGCTGCCCTTTCAGCATGTGCAGGCAGTGACAGTCCTGGCAGGGCCATCACAGTCCCTGTCTCACTGGCAAGGGATGGAAATGGAGGGGCTGAACCAGCCCTGGGATTTACTGCTGACAGAAATGTGGAGCTCAGATGTACTTCTGGCTTTATGCAGATCCTCAGGGCTGTGGTGCATTACATGGACACTTCAATTGCAGACTGATTTAGAGCTTATGCTTTTTGTGCTATTTTTAGCCTAATAGGTTCATGACTGAGCCTTGTATCTATAAAGACAATTCAAGTAATAACAGTAATAAGCTGTAGATATCTGTGTTTTAACAGCATACTGGCTGCACAACCCATTGGTACTTGAAAACAGAAATGCTTTTGAAATAAAACCCACTACACCTTTAGTCCAGCACAATTCCCAGATTGTCCATCTCTTTCATTTTTAGTATGCCCTCAATGTCAATTACCTTTTTAGTTTACTGCTTTTCCCCCAGAAAAACAGTTGACATTAAGCTGTGTTCTAAAAGAACAAGCTGATCTGAATGTTAAATTAATACATATCTATGCATGCACATATATCTATTTTCACTGCGAGGCACATATTTCAAATGTATCAAAAGATTTTGTCATTTACGTATGAAAATTAATTCATAAATCTTTTTTTGTATTTACAGCAGCCCTGGCAGAGTTTATCAAAAATGAGCTGCCTTACAGAACTATCAATGGATTAATAAAAAGAATCTGATCTAATATTCATGACACAGGAGACAAATGTAAACGGTCAGGCAACTTCATCTTTTTATTCTTGGAGAAATGTTGTTTTTTTCATAACTTTTCCTTGTAGGTTTTGTTTTCTCATTTCATAACTGCTTTAACAAAAGAACTGTGCCATCAATTTTGCTAGATTGCATTATTCATGTGTAGGTAATACACACCAAATTCAATGCACAAAGGAAAGAAATACAAAAGAACATTCTATATTATTATTCATATAAACCCAAGAAAACTTCCAAAATCATGCTGTCCTATTATATTTATGACCCAATAATATTCTTTAGCTGTGTAGTTCTTAATGTCCAAACACATCTTGCTGCCCTGTTGCTCGGAGGAAATCATGGTATCTATTTGTTTATCCTGATTACCTTTACAACTTGATTTTGCTTTGAGACCCAGGCAGCCAATAACTAATTTGGGGAAAGGATCATTCTTACACTCAGGTCTGTGACCTGAGCTGCTGATTGCAATGGAAGCTATTAGCCCATTCCAGAGGAATGTGAAAATGCAATCTTTTGTTAGGATTGCACTCATGCTGGACTCTCCAGACCCTTTTTGAAGGCCATTTTTGTGCTGATGGTATTAACTTTGGGATGATCCTGGAATGAGGTTTCCTTAGGTTCTCCTAGAAGCAGGCCTGCCTGATCCAAAGGGTCTGCTCAGCTTCCTGCTCTTATTTACCTGTCAGCCTGCTCATTCCCTGCTGGACCTGGCTTAGGGGGAACCCAGCAGTGCTGGATTAATGATTGGGCTCAATGATCTTAAAGGCCTTGCCCAACCTTCACGTTTCTTTTTCTGACCTTCCTTAATTATATTTCTGAGAAAACTCCCAGTCTCACCTAGCTGGGTGCTTGGGAATTTATTGAAATCTTTGTTTGACTACTGCATAATTCACAGGAGGGTGCTCAATAATTTCTGGGCCAGAGTCTCCTCTGGTGGAAAAGGGTGTGGATGTCAGGCAGGCAGCTCTCCTGCCCCAGAGTGGCCATCTCAGAGTCACTGCTGCTCTTGGACTATGGGAGATGCAGCATTAAGCTTTTTGGTCTGCTCAGGTGGTGTTACCTTGCATTCAAAAGCAATTAGAGTCCTCAATATTGCACACATACCATTTACTTACTTTCTAATTTAGTACTATACTGAGGACAAATTACTTTCCAACAGAAAATGTCAATGGTTCCATAGCAACCAGAGGTACCTGAGAGCTTTCCTTTCATGTTAAATCCCATTATAAGAGCATCAAGCCTGGTGCTTTATGCCTCATGTTGGTGTGAGAGAGTGGCTGCTGCATCCAAACAGCAGAGCCAGTCCCTGGAATCTGCTCCTTGCACGTGCTGGAACCAAAATCTAAGCGCCATCATCTTGTTCTGTCAGAGGTTGGGTGCTTTATTTTAATTAACTTCAACAATTGCTTCAACAGACAGAAGGTTGTTTTAAATGGGTTTCATCATCACATCTTTTATTTTCTGGAATGGCTTGATTTCGTGCTCAGAAAGTGTGAAATGAGAAGTTACTGCAAAAAAATCAGTCAATATTAACAACCTTCCAGCTGCTTTCCTCCTGAAAAAAATGGTAACCAATGCTTCAGTCTGACCCAACACAGACTATTGGAGAGGCAAAAATAATCTGATTTTTGTTTCTTATGGTTGTCAAATGCATTGTGCCCTGTAGACTGTTTTTGCCATGAACTGAGCAAAGACTATCTGCATGGGTTTTAAAACTGGGATTCTCCTGGGGAAAAGCCAGCTCCTGCTTGAGCAGCCTTACCCTGGGGCTGTGCACTGGTGCAGAAGGCAGGGAAAGC